TGTTCTCCACAACAATAAAGACTGGGGTATCATTATAGCATATATAATATATACATATCCAGTTAGTTTTTGTAAGTTCCTAAACCTAGTAGTAATGGGTTAATTGGCTACTGGTGTGATTCAAAGCTTCCTGGAGAAATGTATGACAGCTAACAAACCTCTGCACATTATGTTGCTTTAGGTTCGGACTGCCTTTTGTACTGTACATGGAGCGCACTGTGACCTGGGATGCTCTACAGAAAGAGATCCTGGAGAAAATGAGACATCTATTGAGACCTGGGGTCTATATACAGGTAGGAAGAGGAACAAACAGTTGGCCTTCTATATGAGCTTGAAAAATCAAGTCAGTGAAATTACTATTAGAAAAATATTGATGTACATCCCTGTTGTTTTTCTGAATACATCGTGTTAGTACGCCAGATGTACTGTTCTCACAGAAGTATTGACATTGGTGTCTGTGTGTAGGTTGGACCTTTCAGTCTTCGGGTGGTTGGCGTTGTTGGAATCACCTACCTCCTTCCTCAAGATGAGCGACCATTGTGTCACCCGACTGTGGATAGGTGAGTTCTGCTGTTTTATACAATAAACAGTCTGTTTACTGATTAATTAGGGCTGAGGGTTAAACCAAAAAAATATTGGGGATAATTTTGAATGAGATGTGATTTTGTTTTGTTTTGAGTTACACAAATGTATCTGTCTTTAATACAGCGCGTGTATCTGCATACAGTATATGCTCTCGTAAATCTCCAGGCATAATGCCTTTCACATTGAAAAGTTGGAAACACAGCCAATAATATAAATATACAAGACATTTCATTTTGTTTAAAATACTTTATGACTTTACTATAGCCCAGCCAGGGAAATGCAGATATTTAAAACCAAGAGTGTTTTCTCAGCCTTCATTTCAGTGAAAGGTGAAAGTGAGGGATGTTGAAATAAAAGCAAACACTGTGTATACATATGCACACAAAGGCAAAGATGGCCATGATTTGGGTAATGGGGCAAGGTTAAAATTACATCCATCTTGTTCTCTAATCTTCTCTTAACACATACACGCCCCATCATTTTTCTGTTCCTCTTTTAGGCCTGACATGCCCTAACATGATTTTGACTGTTTGTTAAAATGCCAGTTTAGCATGTTTGGCTAATACCCGCATAAGTTCACTAAACAAGTAACAACACCGGGGCTCCATAGATATGTATTAATCAAAGTGAAATCTAATTTGTTTTTGCCATTACTGTGATTGGCCCATTTATAAATGACACCTGCATAAATGACTTAATTTGTTTCCCGCTTTTATTCTTTCCACCACAGAGCATACAAGTCCTGTGGACAAGGGGGGCCACCACATGTGAAGATTGTGGTGGAGTGGGACAAAGAGACCAAGGACTAGTGAGTGAAAAACATTGATAATTGCTAGAGGTCTGTTTTGTTTTATCTAAAGTATGTTTGTTCTGCACTGAATGAAAAGCAGCCAGGTTTTAACATTTATTTGCTGTTTGTTGCTAAACTGTTTGGGAGACATGCAGATTACATTTAATTCAACTTTTGTTTGGAAGAATAGATTAAGCCAATCGATTTAATAACTCGCCTTGTAGACATAACATTGAATGTGTCATTTATTGTAATTTTTTTGAAGGCCATTAACATGCAGGTTAACAACTTGTCAGTGTAAGTGATTATGTAGAAAGCAAAGTTGAGATGACAAAATTTTAAAGTTGAATACTAAAGTTATGAAAAATATGCCTGAATGTTACAGTGGTACGTGTCAGCTTTGAAAGAGATGTGAACAATAAGCATTGTCATATATGACCTGAAAGTATTTAGCAGGCTCCAACTTACAGCCAAAATTGGCAGATTTTGATCCTTAACTGGCCAATCAGGTCATCCAGTTCTCACCTGTTTTTTTAACTTAATGTGACTGCTTGTTGGCTTAGAAGGCAACAACTTGCGACAGTCACAAAAAATAATCTCGCCCACACATCACTGCGCCTTCCTGTGTCAGTTAAGAACACAGTTGAAGGTGAGGCAACATTTCAGTAAAATTGATGGTGACAGGGATTGCATTGTGCTGGATTTTTGAAAAGACAGACTGTGAAGTTAAGCAACACCTTAAACTAAACAAGGGCTGTCATATAGGACTAAACCTATTTGAGCCCTTGAATCTAGTTGCCTCCCACTATGTTCATCTAACTGCTATTATCACATTATTTGCATTTGAAAGATAAACTTGCTTAATCTACTTACAAATGTGCCTAATCTGAAAACAGTTGTGGTTTTGAACCAAGTAAACACCAGAGTCTGTTTCGCCTACACAACCAATAACATGTCTGCTCTTATTTTTAAAAATGACCATGTTGTGTGGTTAACACACACACACGCACACCATTTGCTGGGCAAATAGAAATGTGTTAAAACAATTACATCAACTGTCTTGAAATGTTATACTCTGATACAGGAAGCAGTTTGACCAAAATCTCAAGGCAGCTCTTATAATCCTCACATGACTTTGCAGTTGAATGAATGGACGACTGTGCTTCATGTTTCCCACAGTCTGTTTGGACACACTGAGGAAGAGTACATTCCTGATGCTGAGAGTGTGTATCTGCACAGGGAACAACATCATCAGCCGCAGGCTTGCACCCTCGCTCAGTGCTTTCAGCTCTACACCAAGGAGGAGCAGGTATCATTGTGACTGCACACATAGCTGGTGCACACAGATGTACACACACACACGTGGTCCATTACTGCACTGTCAGTAAATTGACATGTGGCAGGGGAAATCTAAGATTTATTTTCTAATGTCAGTGTTTAGTATATTTTCAAGTATAGCCTCACATTTGTCTCCTCCCAACTGGTTTATTATTTTTCTGCTAAAGTTCAAAAAGTCTTTCACTCTCTGTGGTTTTACTGTGTATTTGACTCCTAATGCTACGTTTTGAATAAACCAGAAATTCTGAGCGCAGACCTACATATACATTGTGGTTTGACTTGCCTGCGACTGCTCTGGTGGAGAATAGAAATAAGGGAGAAAAAAACTCATGGCCTCATCCTTTGTGAGGCCTATTTTATAAGCAGTGTGGTTTGAGCTCGTCCTTGATTGCTGCTGCCTGGGCTCTGTGTGTTTCAGCTGGCCCCAGACGATGCCTGGCGCTGTCCCCACTGCAAGCAGCTGCAGCAGGGCCGCATTAAGCTCAGCCTGTGGACACTACCGGATGTGCTCATACTGCATCTCAAGAGGTTCAGACAGGTATTTCAGCTTAACCAAACACTTGTTAAAATAGAAAATAAAAACTACATCTACTTTCTGAGTATCAAGGGGAAGATTCACTCTGGTTTTTATTTTGCATGAAGTTGTTATTTATCTGTGTTTGTGCTGGACTTAATCTTCAACGGCAGGAGTTCTCAAACCTTTACAACTTCTGCTTCCGATAAATTCTGAGGACCACCTTCCCAAATCAGTGATAAAAAAACCTGACAAAAAAAGAGAAAAAAATTACAGTCAGCTGTAATGGTCAAAATACATATTCTGCTTACCCACAGTGAGACACTTGGGCTTGCTTCTGAGAAATAATGAGATCAAGGTTGGGTAGGTGAGAGGCTGACACGCAGACTAGCATTCAAAGTTGTTTTAGGTTTGTTCCTTGCCTTTGATTTTCTGATGGTCACAATGGGAAACCCTGATTTGCATGACCCTGGAGCATAGATGGGTTTAGTGCCTCATTTGACAGGACTTTACCACATTCAACATACTGTGTGTTCGGCTCAGCATCGCTGCCTGTCATTATGAATCCAAATTGAATTTATTCAGGGTCATATTTCCTCACCACATGCTTTAGAGCTTTTACTGATGCACGGTTGTCTCCCACATCTTTTTTGAGTTTTAAAATCCATTTTGTGTCACTGCATCCGAGGTAACGGTACCCAGCTAACAGTGGCAAAACACGTTTGCCTTTACCTGATTGATGTGGGAATATTCAAATGTAACCTAAAAAAAATGAAAACTATACCTTCCTCACTTGAGGTATATTAATATTTAATATATTTAAGAGGTGTTATTTTATTTTATTTTAAAGTAGTCATCCTTTGTAGGTTAGACTAAATGGACCTTAAATGTAAGGAAAATGCTGGCTAGCATTCCAGATAACTCATCAAAGCAGTTGTAATTATTTTAGCTACTTTTCATGAAACCACAAATAAACTGAGACTCAATGATTCTGTCTGAAAATGGATCTGGCTGTGACCTGTGCAATATCCCTTTTCACTCTGTATAAAAAGCTCTATATAGTGTACACATAACTCTTATTAAAATTTTTCTATTTTTATTATATCTTGTACATTTCTATTCTATTTTTATTTAATGTGTATTCTCTTATGTTGTGTTGTGTTGTATCTGAAGCTGGTGTAGCAAGTAAATTTCCCCAGTGTGGGATCAATAAATCTTATCTTATAACAACACCCTACCACAAGTGCTATAGGCTGCAACTAGTAAGTAGGTTGGAGTCGTCCTTTAATGCTGATCTGTTTATCTTGGTGTCCGTTTTAGGAGGGGGACCGGAGGGTGAAGATGCAGAACATGGTACGGTTCCCGCTGATGGGCATGGACATGGCACCCCATGTGGTTAAAAGAAGCCAGAGCAGCTGGAGTTTACCTTCTCATTGGTCACCATGGAGACGGCCATATGGCCTGGGTAGAAACCCAGATGACTACCTGTATGACTTGTATGCTGTGTGCAACCACCATGGAAACATGCACGGAGGCCACTACACAGGTAACGCCATAAACAATTGTTCTAGTTCGGGGCTTTATGTGGGCATTATGAGGATATAGAATTGGACTTTATAGATATGTTTTCAACATCGGTTTTGACCCATTCTTCCCTTTGCTTTGAACTCACAGCCTACTGTAAGAACTCAATTGACGGTCAGTGGTACTGCTTTGATGACAGTGAGGTTTCACCAGTAGCTGACGATGACGTGTGTCAGCAGACGGCCTATATACTGTTCTACCAGCGGAGGACAGCTATTCCCTCGTGGTCAGCCAACAGCTCTGTTGCTGGTCAGTATTTCCTTCCTGTCTGTCTTATAGCTGCTGTATTTAGAATTCAGGAGGTGTCATTTGCCAATAAACAGACTGCATAAAGAATGTGAACCGGAGTACCCATGTGAAGGTCCTAAAAGTAACCATGTAGTCAGTGTCAAAGGCAGCACTCCTGACTGTGCTGCAGTTTTTTTTCCCAGTGTGTTAATATGATGTTCTATAGTGTAGACTTGTGTATTGTGAGTTGTACTCTTATGAATGTCTTTATGTTTTGTTTTGCCGTGAAATTGTTGTGTTGAAACCGAAGATAAATTCCCAGATTGTGATTAATAAAGTTTTCTTATTCGTATTCCATGTTAACATCTTAGAGTAAAGCATCACTCATCTCATGATTTTAATGTGCATGGACCTACCACACGGACCCTTTTGGTGAATTTAAAGTTTTTATTGTCTTTTACGCAGGTTCCACCAGTTCATCCCTGTGTGACCACTGGATCAACAGGTTACCTGGCAGTAGGCCTGCTAGCTTGGCCTCTGGAGCCTCATCCAGACGCACCTCTCTGGCATCCCTGGCTGAGTCCGGAGAGTTTCCAGGAGAACGCAGTGAAGATGATGGTGAGATGCTTATATTTGTTTTAAATTATTTGATTTGACAGGTGTTGGATTGTAATTCTTTGTGATTACATGCACATGAACAGTTGATGTTTTCACACTCATATTTTAAATTTCAGCTCCTAGTTCTACCAGAAGCATAAAGTTTACAATTAGCTTTTGATTCTGAACTTTGTAGATGCAAAACTATGTTAGAGTAATGATATTCATCCATCCACACACCAGATGCGACTAGACTTTTTTGAATTCAGAAGACCAAAACCAATATAAAAGAGAATACATGTGGCAAATCATCAGACCCAAATGATGAACAGAAACAGCTTCAAAGAGACAGCTTTGCTTTCATTGTGTCTCAGTATAGTCCACCTTTAAAGTAACACAAACCTTTGTACAAGACGCGCAACACTTCCTCTACACACAATGTTTCTGTTGAAATAAAAAGATACCACCAAGGTTTCCCAGAGTTGTAACTCACACCTGAACTCAGCAATGCCAACCCAAAATAATTTAAAATTTAATATAAAAGAGGGAGAATATCGCATGGCATTTGTCACATGTGACTGGGACAAGACAACATGCTTGACAGAGCTCTGTACTGTGGGAAACCTACTCACATACTGAGTGAATCCAAATTGAGACAGATGGATTTCGGCTTGGGCTGCTGTTTGTGGTTAATATAAATGTAGGCTCTGTTTAACCCATCAGAATACAGGGTCAGCACAGTCCCCAAATATGTTGACCAGGCAAACTGGTATTTAACTAAAACTTTCACAGATCTCACTATGGCTTCCAAATTATGTATTATGTTATACTTTGTATTTTTTTTATATGTTAGAGTGCCTAAACATTTAATTGTGGTATCAATACTTACCTGAATAGTAGTGATTATTTTTTTTATTAAGCCATTTGTGGTAAATATTTACAAATTTATAACACTGTGCCAAAAGATATTACAAAAGCTTTAACAAAAATTTACAAAATCCATGGGTGTTGGCACTGCATGAACTTATTTCATTAGATTGGAAAATTGTTAGTGTAATTTGTATTCATTCTCAAGAGCACTTTAAGCCCAGTTGAGCGTGCTTCACTAAAAGAAATTTCCTTTGTAAAATGTTTCCTTTTTTTTAGGAGGATTCTCAGTCCGCCCTTTTGTGAGGAGCATTCAGCGCCAGAGCTTGTCTTCCAGGTCGTCCATCGCTAGCCCGTTAGCTTTCAGCGACAGTGGAATAAAGCCTTCTTGGTCGCTCTCTGCGAAGCTGCACATGAGATCCAACTCGCCGTCGCGTTTCTCACTCGACTCTCGATGTTCTCCTCCTCTAGAGAGGATAGGAGAGGCCTGCGATGACAAGGTTTCCACGTCCTGTTTTGGCAGCTACAGTAGACATGAGCGCTACTTTGGCAGCAGGTCTCCTCTGTCTATGATGGAAAGCAACTTGAGTGACCAGGACAACAATAAAAGGTTCCTCGATATGATGTACTGCAGGGCTCCCACTCCAGTGGAAAAGAAGAGCACCAAAAATGAGCCAACAGAAAATAACAACCAGATTACAGCTATAGACCAAAACATTCTACCTACCCAAGCTACTCCCTCCAAAGAACAGAAACGTAAGAGCAGTATCGGAGGATTTGCCTCAAAGGCAGAAAGCACAGGCTCCACAAAGAGTTCCACCAAAGTGGAGCAAGAGAAAACCTCCAAAAAGCGTTTGTGCTCAACCTACAAGACCTCCACTTCTGAGACGTCTTCCAGTACACCTGTGAAAGGCAAAAAGATGAGCAATACTAAAGAAAAGAGTGTAAATGCCAAGAAAAGCACCTCTACACCCAGTGGAACTCCCTCCAAAACAAAGGAAGCAACGCAACCCACAGAGGCAACGCCACAACATAAGCCATGCGTCCGCTCCACACCTCAGTCCTCAGCTTCTCCCTCACCAACGGCAAAGAAGAATTCCAGTGTCACTGAGAAAGGCTCTACAAGTAGTCGAAAAAAGCTGGTAGAAAGGAGCTACAGCAGAGATTCTATGCACACTAGCCCTCTGGTCGACAATCTCCGAGGCAGCACGGTAGCTCGCTCTTCGCCGTCTAAGAGTGGGGAAAGCAACCGACCTGAGAGGAGGTTTGTGAGGAGCTCCAGCAGCAGCTCTTCTGTCACTAGCCTGCGCTCACCCAGCATATCCACCAGAGATCTGCAGCGCAGCAGCAAACCTGAGGATAAAGGGTTGTCTTTCTTCAAGAGTGCCCTTCGACAAAGGGAAAGCCGCCGGTCGGCTGATTTAGGAAAAAGCACCCTGCTTGCCAAAAAGGCCTCCGAGAGGACATGCAAGCAGAATGGACAAGCCAAGGACATCAGTGGTGATAAGGGAAAGACAGAAGACGCTGTGTCCTCACAGACGTCTATAGAGACTCATGGAGGTGAGACAAAATCAGAGACAAAGGCGTCTTCCAAGCCCCCCAGCTCTCTCAGTCGCACTCTATTAAACGTTGGCAAATCCAAGTCTTCCAGTTCTGAAGTAAGTCTCAAGTCTCCCGCAAACGGGAAGAAGCCTCTTGAAAGGATGGCATCTTCCCGAAAGCTGTCATCAAGCATGCAATCTCCTGCACGTACAACACCGAGGCCTCAATGATACAACTATAGTACATTGAACTCACATAATGCAGCTATTTTCTTTGTGCCTAAGTTTCAGTGAGCACCAGATGTATTTGTAAAGAGACCATTTTTGATGTTGTGTTTTTTTACACTCACATCAGATGCATATGCTGGCTTTGAGGTTTGAATATTGGCTGCCAGCTTTGAGTATTTTTAGCTGTACTGGATAAAAGATGAAGAACACTTGCCTGGTATGCTGCCAGTCCTAGTTTTTAAAGCAGTGTATATTACTAATTACCACTTTTGAGCATTAGATATGATATTGATACAAGTGAGAAAATTGAGTGCAGGGTGATCGCTTGACACATAAAATGTTTTCTGGCATGAAAGGTACATGAGCATGCCATATGCATTCAGCTGTACAGCACGTATTTGATTGTGCTGACAGCTGACAGAATTCCCTGTTGGAATCTTGAAATCCAATTATCTTTTTTTCCAGACAAGAGGCTTGTTATATCTTTGCATCGCAGCAAACAGTACGTTTCGTTTGCTTGAAAAATATCCTGCCGGAAAAACCTGATTTGAGCCGCAGCACTGTACATTAAGATACATTCACCTTGTATGCACCAATAATGCATAATTGGTCATGTAGAGTAACATTTTGAACTGATAGATTCTTTCAGAAATAAGCTGGCTGTTGATGTTTAAACCTGACTGTTCTAAAAGCATCAGTGAGAACAGAACCGTAACATCAAAAATAGTCTCTGGACAAAACTGAGTTGATGCTCACACACACACACACGCACACACACACACACACACATACACACACTCACACAAACACAAAAGAGTTTCATTCCGAAATAATTGTGGCTAAAAATTCGTAGTAGTTTTCATTGATTGTTTTAAGTAAAACCTGCAATCTGTTTTTCAAATACTCTCTGCATACACCTCAAGCATTGGTTCATAGGGGGTAGTATGAGAGGATTTTGTTTAAAGCTATGGAGGAAAAGACATTAGTTAACGATATGCACTAATAAGTACTTTAATGAGAGTACCGAGGATTGATGCGTAGCCGAAAAGACAAATAAGAGACGATTTTAAACTTCCTGATTATGAAAGAAATGTAGAGATTATACAGATGGCAGGCCCTGGACCAAAACAGAAAATGATTTGAGATGACAAATCAGTCAGTACACACATCAAGACAAATTTTCCAATATTTTAAAACTTTATTTTTGTTTAATACAAGTACTTTTTCGATAGAAATGTATTTTATCAAGTTAACTACTTTTTTCTCTCAAAGGGACGGTGTGTTTTGGAATGAAACCCTTTAAAATCAACGTATATAATTACATATATGTGTCTGTACAAAATATACAGTATATAACCATTTTTCCTTTCCATGAGCAAGATGAAAATAATCTTAAGCGCCTTTCAATGCTGTACACAGAAACAAATAATTGCCTTTGGCAACATTGTAGTCTACTACTGTATGCATCACTGAGTAGGAATGTTGAATTTGTTCGCACTTTGTATAGATAAAGTAGTTTTCTTTTACCCAGAACAAGCATATATATATATATATAAATACACACTAACTTAAAATGTAATTATCTCATTTTTAATACGTTGTCGGTTCATGAGTTCCAGACATATCGTAAAGTATCGTCAACAGGCCTTAGACTTGAAATGGTAAAAGGGTACATTCATCTCAATGTTTCAGGGGTCATTTTAAGAAATCACCTCTTTACTACACCTGGTGCTGTAACAGACCGATGCTCCTCTGGCACTGATATTTCTTAAATGAGCATATTTTCAAATGCTGATGTTCAGAGCTGTGACCACACACTTCAGTGAACCAGAAATCTGTCGGCAGCATTTATCATAACCTGTGGTACCTCACTGGAGAAAATGATACGTTGCCATTTTTTTTCCTTCATCAGGCTGAAACAGAATATTAATAATGAGCCATGTAATCAGAAGTACATTTATATTGTCTCTGAGCAGTTGTTGTCCAAATATGAATATATAGGCTGAATTATCTAAACTGCATGGTATATTTATTTTGCAGTGTAATGATAGAGGCAGGATTTGGTCACTGCAGCTGTTATGATGCTTGGTGGTCTTTTTTTTCACCAAGCATTTTTTTTCCATCAGCTTTATTATTGTTGAATTACCCCAACTGCAATTGCAATATTCATACGTTAGATACCAGCACAGTGTATGTTTTAAATGAATGAATGTGGTTATGCCATTTAAATCAAGCATTAGTAAGTAGTTTTTACTTTAAAAATTAACATAATCTTTAAATTATAGATCTACCATATTTCTCTCAACTGTTTCTCTGTAGCATCTACCAGGTTTACATTGGTTCTCAGATGGTTTCAGAAGAAATACCACTCAATTTAAAGATTTATGTATGATATTTAAATGGTCTTTGGTCAAGTCAGCAGCCTTATTGTGCCTGGCTTTAAATGGGTCACACTGTTTTTGGTCAGAAGGATTTGCCTTTGGAGTAAGCAGTGCAAATCAAATAGTGAGAGCAGTTTTCTACATCCCGTGATGTATAAATTAGATGTGAGGCAACACAGCCGCACCACGTTTTTCTGGTGGAATGCATACAGCTTGTTTTCTAACCAGGCATCATTATTTGTTACTCAGAGATTCAAGCTGTGAACAAGCTGTTCATCACTGCACTGTTGGCAGCCAAAATTGCTATATGGTGACATTTTTAACCTAAATTCTGCCCAGAAATGCTTTATTAAAACAGCCATCTGTTGAGAATACTAATTAGGCCATAGAAACATCACAACACATAACAAACATACATTATGTATTTGTTTACTCATACCTGTAGTTGGGTAAGGTTCTGAATACATTTCTTTCTAAAATGTAAAACCAGATCATCAAACCTGACATTTAGAGGGGAAAAAAAACCTTCTGAAGAGTCTCAGTCAGTTTACCTGTTAAGGGATCAACATGAACAACACAAAAACCCTTTTATGCATTCTTATTATCTTTATTACTGTCACAAGCTAACCAACAGCTCAGTCTCCCAAAACCTTGTGGGACCCTTTTAGTCTCCCACCATTGGGAGAGACAAAGAAATACAGTGGCTATTTTGTTCAAACTGCCAGTGACCATAGAAATAACATGCTGCTGTTTAAATGTGGTGGTATTCCTTTAGCTGCTCTTTTCTACTTTACAATGTATTCTATCAGGAACCTGTGCATGGCACTTTGGATCAAAGCAGGACAATTTTATGTCATTTTGGCTTTCACCGGCTTGTTTGCCTGTTATAAAGTCTGTTATTAAGTTGTAGTGGCTAGTGTACATTTTAGAGCTGGATCATGCCATTGCACTTATGTGTTGTCTATTCCTTCACTTGCTAAATAAGACGTTTATTGGTCCATTTACGCAGCCAAAACCTAGTGCATTAGGATGTGAGGCCCCTCACTTTTGACATTTTGAATTAGTTTTTGGTGGCATTGTAAACTAGGATCAGTTGACAATGTGAGTCATACTGTGTACTGCTCTTAATATTTAAATATTTTGTTACATTTTATGATTGAATTATTTTTCTCTACAGTAATCTGAAAGCTGAAGCCTGTCCATTTTTTTCATTTATCCATAATGATTACGTTTATAGTCACCACATTGCCTACACTACTGTTTTTTTTCTTACATGTAAGATTAGATGAGACATGATGGTTAATTTAGTAATTTAGTAAGCTAGTTCAGTAGCAGTTGTAAAGAGGTCTGTAGTATATTGCAGAGCTGATTTGAACATCTACAGTATTACTTTGGTCCCGTTTTAAGTCACAGGAACCTTCTGTTATTTAGTCATAAACATGAAGCTTCAAATCATAAAAAATTCAGTTTTATTATGCCTTGGCCAACACACTGTTGGTAGAGCAATAATCCAATAATCATGTCATTCATCAAATAGACAAAAAAGTTATCTGAGTATTGAGTTAGCAAAAAGTGCAACTTGGCTGACTTTTGAAAGCTCAAAAGGCCATTGAAAAAGAAGTACTGTACTCCATATGAGAAGTATTTACATTTCCAATTAATCCAGATACACATTACCCATTGAAACAATATGTCAAAAAGAGAAAATGAACATCTTTACAGAATAGATTTTCCTATTTAGCTTTCGTCACAGCAGTTATTGTCTATGTTTTTTTGTTGTCAATGTACAGAATTGAGAATAATTAAGGAATGCAGTATTGCATGAAAACGCTAATGCATGTATTTAATTAACTATGCAAATCTGCGGCTGGTAAAGTAGAAAGCAGAGCATGGCTGGTATATTCCATTGCTTAATTTGCACACCATTCCAATATTTAGAAATTGTAAATTGCAGAATGTTTCATCTGTACAGCTAAAAGGATTAAAACTTTCAAATCTCGCCTATATGAAAATCTATTTAATGCCATAATTACTTTTAGCATTCTACCATTTAATGTTTATATATATATATATATAAACATTTCTCATTATTTTATTTTTGAATTCTGCTGATCTGTGCTCTCTGGGTGCTCCTACCTAACTGGTAGGTTACTGTCTTTTTTGTTTCCTCAAGATGTTTAATTATTACTGTTGTACACCAGCAGAAACAACACTATGGATGCGATAATCTCTATGTGGTTACTAAATAGCCTCATGTATGTATGTATGTATGTATGTATGTATGTATTGTGAAAAATCCTTCCATTAGTTTACAGAAGTGATACATGTTGAAATGTTCTCAGCTGCATCAAAGATGTGGTCGGTCTAATATAAAGACAACTCAAAAAACTATATATAAATATATATACATATACAGTATATAGCTAAATGCAATAAAGAAAACTTGTGAATTTGTAGTTTTATATTACAGTATGTAATGAACAATGTTCAGTTAATACTTTTTGTAGTATTTACGCCACATAAATCATTTCAGTCATGATGTGATTTTTTTAATTTGAAACAGGCAGTTTATCAGCAAAGAAACGGCAACTTCCAAACATGCTTTAAAGCAGCACCACTATTTGTTTGTGATAACTGGAGAAGTGGGTATAAAACATCAATCACTCTAATTGTTAAAATGCACATAGGATTCCCTGCAGAAGTTAATTAAGATTAGAGAATCAGTTCATTGAGTTATTGTTGTGATACAGCTGTTTTGTTGTTAACAGAGTCACAAAAAGTTCCACTTTTAAAAGGTGAAACCATTAATTAACATTATCTGCAACATGTTTTTGTAGATGTTTTACCACTGAATCAAAGTTGCAGTAACCACTAAAATACCTAAAATCCTACATTTGAGCCACAGACACTGCAGATGCTGAAGTTCTACAACCACACAGCTGCACGGACACACGTAATATTAAAGGACTTAAAATAAGGAACTTCAATTGTGAGTTTAGGCTAAAACATATTTTTGGACTTTTCTGAGGCAGATAGTTTAAGCTTTTAAGCATATTTTTTTTAGATGTAAACACTACAAACAGACGATACTGAGACTTTTCAGAAGCCTGAAGCAAAACACATTGCAGTGAATAGTTTATCTGTCTTTGGATGATGCAGAAACCAAGGAGCTGTGTAATGAATGAATGTCATGAGTCTGATTTAGATTTTTTTTTTTATAAGCCAACAAATAACACTACAGTGCTAAATTCATAGCACTTCTCTTCTATGACTTTTTTTATTATGATTTTTTTTAATGTATCATTTATAAACCATTTTGTAAAATATTGTTGCATTCATTAAGATTTTTTTTAAGGCTGTTTTACTGTATTCCTTGTTGTACCAGGTTCATGAGGTTATAATTGACATACAATTGACACTTGCATTGTCTGAACTGGCCTAATCATTTTTTTATTTTTTATTTTTTTTTTTTACATTACATTAGTAATAACATTATCCCTGATCCAGCATTTGCTTCTTAATTTTTACTTAATTTTCTTTTTCTACTTTTTTAATTGTTCTGACATTCATTATTCAAAGTCTTCTATGTTAATTTATTTCTCTTTTGTTGTCATGTATGCACTTTTGATGTCTTTTTTTTATTTTATTTCTCCAAAAGGACAAATGTGTATATACTTTGTTGGTTTACCCATGCAAGTACAAAATGAAAAATCTGATTAAAAATATTGAAACATAATGGTGTGTTAATATTATGGTTTGTGGGTGTATTTGTTCCTACACTAGAGGGAGCTTTTCTCTAACAAATTGTCCCTCCGTACACCTCCATACAACATGCAGCTATTTCCTTGGTTTATAGAGGCTCACTGATGCAGCATTAAGAATATAAGTAAAATCAAATTAACATTTGTTACACACCATTTTGTGTGTCGCTATTTCACAACTTCAGATGGATTCATGTCAGAAAAGCCTGTGATTGAGCCAGTAATGAGTGTAACCACTCAACAGTAGGCTCAGTTTTCAGATGTGTAAGACTTTCCACCGTCTGTCTCCATAAAAGCGTTTGTATTCTCACAGCTGTCACATGTACTGTAGCAGCATGACACTTTTTAAAGATGCTATTATTTTAATTTCCCCCTTTTATCCAGTTTTATCCTGCTGGGGTTGGGCAAGCAAGTGTATGAGCACACAAATCTACTGCTCATTGTCTTGCTGCTGCAGAGACTATTATCTGAGACCTCAAGGCTGTGCAAAACATGAGCGGCTCTAAATTTCTGGGCAGGATTATTATTTCAAGCTTCTCCTGGCTGCAGAATATAGGGGGAGCGGGAGCTGGGATGTGCAGATGCAAGCATGTTTGAGCTCAGTTTGTACTCAAAGAGGGGTGGTCCACTTCTCATTATACTTTAGCACCTATGGCTGCAACACCAGTCAATGTTTGGTTGAAAAGTAAGAAATATTTTAAATGAGCAATAAGAATTGCAGTTCATGTTCTTTGCTGGATTAAAATTAAATTTTGTTTGTATCACTTTTCATCAATATGTGTTTTCTTTACAAATCTGACACATGCACGTTCCTGGACTCTCTCTCTCTGTCTAACAACCAGTTTTAGGCGATTGATTCATCAACTTGTGCTTTAAAATGTCAAAAGAAAGAAAGAAGAAAAATGCTTCTAATGACTGACCATTAGATCAGTATTTTGAAGCTACAACCAGCAAGATTTTTCCAGCTTTGACTTAAATATTAATCAGCAGTGATGGAAGAAGCCTGCACATCCTTTACTTAAGTAACCAGCAATACTACAATGTTACACTACAAATAAAAGTCCTGCATTCAAAATGTTACGCAAGTAAAAGTATATCAATATTATCAACAGAATCAGACATTTATATAATCATACATATTCTATAATTATATAAATATTTTGTATTATTAATGGAGCAAATTTGATCTACTGAGACATTTTCCTCTATTTTTATCTTCATATAACAATGCATCATAGTTTATAAGATATTCTGTTTTGATATGACAAATCTCAGTCTGCAAAGTATCGACTACAGCTGTCAGATAAATGCAGTACTTCCCATCTGAAGTAGAGTACGTGAGTGTGAAGTAGTATATGGAAATACTACAATAATCATAAAGTCATCAATACTTCTTATCAACTAACGGATTATTCAACTTGTCATTGTAGTGCTATGGGATGAATACTAATAAAAATGACTTTTTAGAGGTCAGAATAACGTCTTCTTTACTCCATAAAGTAGAGACAGCTGTCTGGTTTTTACAGTTCAATCTAATACAGGAGTTAATAAGTACATAGCCAGGCAAGCATATTTAGAGAACAAGAGTTCAGAATGTCATCACCACCCAGTTGATTTCCAGTCAATGGATCACCTTAAAGCCGCTGTTAAACTATGGTTGTGTTTGCTCAACGTTTGATGTATTTTAATCCCACTCTCTCACTGTCTATTTGACTGGCATCAGCATGGTTTATGCCATAAAACAGGACAGCCAGTCAGCTCTTGGCTGAGATCCACCTCATGAATCATTTGAAATTTCCTGGTAAGCAGAGAATGCCATTTACTCCTCTTCTCCAGTGCTTTTAAATGGAGGCGAACCAGCATCTGACTTCTCTCTCATGATAATATCAGTCCCCCACGGTACAGTGGAGTTACTTTAGCAATTCGCCTGTGGTTTTATCTCCTTTGTCCCCTCTTTTGACTCCACCCCAGAGAGTGCAGAAAAATCAATAACAATTGATTTTAGAAGGCAAGAAAAGGCGGTTGGAATTCAGGGGAAGAACCATGGTAAGACATAGACAGAGAGGTACTAGCAGAGAGGTGTGAGACCCTAAGCATAATATGCATGTGCTGGCACAGCTAAAGGTCACCAACATGAACCTGTCTGTAACAACAGATTATGAAGTGTGTAGGCCCCACAGCTACTGAGGTCTCACATATTAGATAAGAGCAATGGCAGCTGTGAACAGCGACACCACCTCTTCAATGTTAAGTGATTTTAATCCATAAAGAGGAATGTGGTCTTGAAAACTTTCTTCCTATAGCAGGGCAGATGTTGATAGCTAAGCTCATAAACACTGATATAGTTGTTTTTGATGCTCAATGTAAAGTGGGAAATTATATACCAAAACTAAATATGCTGCCCTGCTATCAGAATTCATTTGTCATGTTCCTCCTCGTAGCAGCCAATTAGTTGCCTGTTTTCTACTATCTGCTGTTGAGGTTCATTTCACATTCCCTTTCACACAGCTTGTTTGTTATCCCTTTTTTCCCAGAGACCACTCAATCAACCCTTCACAGGGTAATGTTCAAAGCAGGACAAGACAGCAACAGACTTTCACTGCAGAGAGGAAGGGCTGTTTTGATTTTTATTGCAGGATTCGTCCGGGGTCCAGTAGGTCAGAGTGGCTGACAGCTTGGAGATAGACAGTTGAGATCTTTCCCAGGCGGAACAGTGTTGGACAACATGAGCAGTGATCCAAGGCACCAGTGGAGTCGGGTGGAGGTGGGGAGGCTGCAGATGTGGTGTATCCCTCAGTGAAGTGTGTGCGTGTGTGTGTGGTCTTTTGGCTGAGGGCCACGTCCCCCCTGTCATCAGGGCTGCTGAATAGTACTCAGTACCTGCAGACCTAAGCACCTGGGGACCCAACAATAGTTCAAGATGAGTGAAATTTCAGAGAAAATGAGAACCTGTTTTTTTTGTTCCTTTTTGTTCCTTGTTTTCTTTATTGAATTTTTATTATTCCCTGCCGTCATTTCCTCTCCTTCTTTATCTAGTGTTTCAGACAAAGCAAATACACCAAGATTAGCACTGAGAGAAATCGTCACTCTTCCTGATTTTGATCAGAGCCATCCGAACGGTGAGTTGATTTTAATATAGATGCGCGCACACACACGGACATCCAATCACAATGCTGTTACAGTGTTGCACAGATTTCTCTTCTCTTATGAAAATAACACGCTTATAAAAACATAATTTGTTCAATATCACAAAAGCGATTTTAGAAGTTGATATTTCTGTACACAGAACTTTTCTGGGGCATACATACATGCTATGAAACAACAAAGCAGTCAAGAAAATCTGAATTTGGCCATGTTTGAACATTGCAAGAGAACAAAACCACGGACTGAGAAGGGTCCAAAACTGAAAGTAACAAGTAGTAAATACTGGATTAAAGGGGCTAACAGAGATCTGGAACGTTATATGACCACCTGTCAAACACACAAGTATGTACACACTGGCCTACCAAACATTAAATACTTTAACTGAGAGTTTATGATTTCTTTCCAAATTGAGAATATTCTAGTTTGCAGTCTCTTACCTTGCCCAGGATATTGTAAATGTAAATGTAATCTACATTTAGACTACCCATTGTGGGATTAACAGGCAGTAGAAAAAGAAACATTATTTGATTCTTTATGTTATGCTTTTCTACAGGAACAAAGGCTTGAAGGAACCATATTTTAAAAAGGCTTCAGCACTCATGAATCCTCTTTATCATGATACATGGTTTCATGAGCGCAGCAGCTAATACGAATATAAAGCCAGATGCCCCCATAAGCTGTTTCACCATTATTTATTTATGAATGAATATTCTCCAACTGCACTAATATGTCCCTGGGCTTAGGGAAATGGTCTAATGTATTTGTTAAGCTTGGCCTGGGATTCTTTATTACCTGTCAAATCTCTAAAAGTAACACTTTATCATGTGGTTTTATTTCTTTTTCTTTCCACCGCCCCCCCCCCTACAACACAGAGAATCCTCTGAAAATGTGAAAAGCAGAATCTGACAGCAGATTATAGTTGAGCCCATGGAGGCACTAAGATTCATGTAAATGTTTGTATCATCATTACCTGCAATATAAAATTCGAAACAGAAATTTGATTGTCAAGAGCAGAAACATTATTTATTGCATTTGAAGGCAGGAATGTGAATTTGGCAAATGACAGTTTTAATATCAGGATAAAAACGAGTTCCTTTAGCAACGAAACACAGAAGCATCTGCGTTTATTAATGACCCTGATATAAGTGTTGCATATTCACTCACATATTTACATCACAAACATGGTCGAGAGTGCTGAAGGGGAGTGAACTGGCACCTTATTACAATTTGAAGGGGATTTATCATTGAATTCCCGTGCTACTATTTTTGTAGACTTGGAGAGGAGCGATGTGGCTGACAGAAAGATACATTTAAAACTGCTTTACTGTACATATCAGCCCCTAGAGAATTCTGTTTGTTCCTGTATACGTCCACATGAAACCAACAAAGTGCCTGTGTACCGAGATGTGCTTATTTATGATCTTTTTACGTTTCCATGGATGCTTGAAACCCCTCAATTAACTCAAACATGAATACACAGCGGGGGTGACTCAGACTTAAACATTTGAAGCCCTGACTGCCTCGTGGCCTGATTCTTTTCCCGTTATGTACCATTCCCCCCGGTGGAA